TCAACAAGGTCCCTCATGATCTTCTTGCAAACAAACTAGTCAAATGTGGGCTAGGCAGTGCTACCATTAGGTGGATCTGTAATTGGTTAAGCGACTGAAGCTAAAGGGTGCTCAGCAATGGTTGCTCTTCATCCTGGAAAGAAGTGACTAGTGGGGCCAGTACTATTCAACATCTTTATTAATGACTTAGATGAAGGTTTAAGGGGAATGCTTATCAAGCTTGCAGATGACACCAATTTAGGAGGGATAGCAAAAAGAATTCAATATGACTTTAACAGATTAGAGAGCTGGGCCAAGACTATCAAAATGAATTTCAGCAAGGACAAATGTAAGATACTACACTTAGGCAGAAAAAAGGGAAATGCAAAAATACAGACTGGGTGGCGGCTGCCTCGCCAACAATACATGTGAAAAAGATCTTGCCGTTTTTGTGGACAACAAATTGAACATGAGCAAACAATGTGATGATGCAGCTAAAAAGCCACTGGGCTGCAACATAAGGAATATAGTGTCTAGACTGAGGAAAGTCATGGTACCCCTCTATTCAGCTTTGATCAGACCTCACCTGTATCCAATTCTGGACACCACAATTGACAATTGAGATATTGACAAGCTGGAGGGTGTCCAGAGGAGGGCGACTAAAATTATCAAAGGTCTGGAGACCATGACCTGTGAGGAGCATCTTAATGAGCTGGGTATGTTTAGCCTGCAGAAGAGAAGGCTGAAAGGAGACATTTTATATATATATATATATATATATATATATATATATATATATATATATATATATAAATATGTGAAATGATGTCATAACGAAGAGGGAGCGGGCTTGTTTTCTGCTTCCCTGGAAACTAGGTCTCAGAGCAATGGCTTCAAATTACAGGAAAGGAGATTCCACCTGAACATTAGGAAGAACTTCCTAACTGTAAGAGCTGTTCAGCAGTTGCACTCTCTGCCCCAGAGTATAATGAACACTACTTCTTTGGAGGCTTTTAAACAGAGGGTGGATGACCATCTTTCAGGGGTACTTTATCCTTTTCCTGCATGGCAGAGAGTTGGACTAGATGAAGTCCAATTATGGAGTCTCTTCCAACTCTATGATTCTGTTTCTAAATCCAATCGGTTTAACTCTTTCTGGCCTCATTCAATCACTCAACTGATCAAAATAGCCTTGGGGCCCTTTGCAGGTTCCATCAGAGATGTATATCAACATGCTAGTGTCACCTGACAATATACTCCAGTTGATGGTTCATTTATAGGAAAGTGGTTTTGCAGTGCAACACTGGCCTTCCATTCTAAAGCTGAGGACTTCAGCAACACAACCATAAATGTACGCTCTATTAGAGGTATGTGCTAGAAATTCTCAATCCCATCACTGATTACCACCTGCCCTTCTCTGGGACTGTATACTCAGATCTTATTTGCCACATGTTTATCTCCATTCAGTGTAATTCCACCTTCTCTCTGGCTATTTGTTGTTTGCATGAGAGAGGTACTTTCTCAAACCAAATAGGATGATTTAGGTTGTGTTCTTGTCTGGTCCTCAGTGATTGAAGATGGTCTAACTTTCCATTTCAGGAGGCCCAAGGCATACTTAAAGGGTCATGGTCAGATGGTCTACTCCATTCCCAAATTGGGAGTGGTAGTGTTTATGCATGTATCCAATTAAGCACCCACTCAGTATTAGTTCAGTAAAGAAACACAAAAAGCTATGTTTTATTTTTTTTAAAAGGAAACAAGCAGTGAAATAATTTGTATTTTATGGCAGACACATGACACAATGGACTAGTCAAGAAGAGGAACTATTTAAGAAGCACACCGTGCTATTCTATGCTTCACCAGTCATTGAGTTATCACAACAGAGATGCTGAAGGCAAATAGTAGAATCTAGAGTGGCGAGATGGAGCCTGAGCCTGTTGTATTTCACCCACGCTGCTATTCCACAAGGGCACCTGATTTCCTGAGTTCCATATCAATAGTCGGAAACAATGAATGAATTTCCCTTTCCTGCCTGTGCTTGCTTTAGATTTCCAGAGGGATAAAATGTAGCCTCAGACTGTGCCAGGCCACCCAGTCCATATCTGGCTTTCTTCCCAATGGTCCTAAAGTTTGCCTGGAAAATGCTATGAGCAATGCCTGTGTTTCCCACAGCCACTAAAGAAGCATCTTTGATATCTATATGAATTAACAGGCAATTGATGCACTGCAAGGTAGCAACAATTTCCGGGTTCATGAAATTCCATAACACATATTATAATACAGTCTTTGATATTCACTGAGGTTAGGGATACAGGACCCACACAAAAGTGAAGAATTTTAAATAACAAGACTGCTTTTTTTAACCAGAGAGAATAGGTAAACAGGAGGACCAAGAGACTTATAAAGAGATGTTTTCTCTAGGAATCTCTAGATCCTTCAGAATGACTGTGATCAATTTCCAGCAGAAAGAGTTTCATCGGATGACCTAGGCCCCTTCTACATTACCATATAATCCAGATTATCAAATCAGATAATCCACATTATCTGCTTTGAACTGGAGTATATCAGTCTACACTGCCATATAATCCAGTTCAAAACAGATAATCTGGATTTAATATGGCAGTGTAGAAAGAGCCCTGGAGATTCCTAGGGAGAACATTATAATCAAATCTGTTAATAATGAAACCTGCAAAAGTTAAATCTGAAAATGGTAAGATTCAACTGCACTCATTTGACCTCAAATATAAATCACAGATTTTGAGGCCAAAATTATGAACTTTGATATGATCCATAGATAAGTCAATGGGAAAGCACCAGCACTGCTTCAGGGAGCCAGCCCAACTTTGGCCAACATCTTTTTCCCAGCCAGGCATTTTTAAAAAGCTAGAAAAAGCATCAGAGTGAAAAAGAGGACTCTTTCAACCCATTCCACATTCCTATCAAACAGTTAACACTGAAAGCTAATGTATTTCTATCCCATTCTGTTGTGCCCCATAACTAGCGTTATCCATTGCATGCAGAAGTTGAAATAAGCCATGATGTGACTACACTACTGGGTTGTAAGCAAGTTCTAGGAGTGTGGAAGTGAAAACTGGCTAAGCATGTTGTTAGACTTCCTCCCAAACATGTTTACAGCTATTGTTTTCTGTAAAGCCCCTCCCTGAGATTGGTCCTGTGTTGTTGCTGTTGTTGTCTGCCTTCAGGTCATTTCAGACTTATTGCAACCCCAAGGGGACCCCATTATAGGGTTTTCTCTGTAAAATTTGTTTGGGGGCAGGGGTGTTATGTTTGCCTTCCTCTGAGGCTGAGAGAGTGTGAACTGCCCAAGGATGTAGTCAAATCACATCTTTATAAAGCATCAATCTTTTGGGTTGTTGTGAGTTTTCCAGGCTGTATAGCCATACAGCCCAGAAAACTCACAACAACCCAGTGATTCCGGTCATGAAAGCCTTCAACAATACATCAATCTTTTTCTATACTGGGAGAGTGAACACAGGAAAGTAGCTCTATCTTAGGGGCCCAGAATTCGGTTCCATGCAAACCTATACGTGGATGCAGCTTCAATCATTTGACATACCCAGATAATGTGTAGCCTCATGACCAGACTGAAGTGATTGGGTCATTGCTACATAGAGGCCTACCCTGCATTATCCAACTGAAATGCAGAGACCATCTACACTGCAAAATTATAGTAGTTTGACATCACTGTCATAACACCATCCTATGGAATTCTGAGATTTATAGTTTGTTGGTGTGACACCAAAGCTCTCTGACAGAAAAGGGTGAATAGCTCACAAAAATACAAATCTCAGAATGTATACCATTAAGCCATGACAATTATTGTGGTATCAAAATTGTTTTAATTCTGCGGTGTGAATAGTAAAGGTAAAGGTTTTCCCCTGACATTAAGTCCAATCTTGTCCAACTCTGAGGTTTGGTGCTCATCTCCATTTCTAAGCTGAAGAGCCGGTGTTGTCCATAGACACCTCCAAGGTCATGTGGCCAGCATGACTACATAGAGTGCCTTCCCGCTGGAGCAGTACCTATTGACCTACTCACATTTGCATGTTTTCGAACTATTAGGTTAACAGAAGCTGGGGATAACAGTGGGAGCTCATGTCACTCTCTGGATTCAAACCTGCAACCTTTTCAATCAGCAAGATCAGCAACTTAACCCACTGCACCACTGGGACCACAGTTAACTGTCTCATGGGTTATAGATTAATCAGCAGTAGGGTTAATCAGCAGTAGAGCTCCTCAAACCGCTCAGCCTTCAGTGTAGAAAATCTGAATGCTGTGGTCTTTTTTCACTCCAACATTAGTATTTCAGCCCAGTTACCTCTCAAGCTGCTCCCCCCTGGAAGAGGCAGAGATATGCAAGGAACAATGGGTGGAGAGCAGGAAACGCTGTATGGGAAACAGGATTTCATGTCATTGCAGTTCTGTTGGTGAGGGCCTCCAGGCATTCCCGCCCCAGCTGAACCCCAGCCAAGGAGACTCTTCCAGCTCATGTCCTGCCCAGTCCATTCCCACCCATAACCCATTCCTGTGCTGCCCAGAGTTTTTCTTTTGTCCCTATCCCAATGCTCCCTGGTCGGCATGGAAGAAACAGCAGGATTAAACCTCCTCCAAAGCTACATATGGCGTTGAATGTTGGGCTCAGAAGGTCTTTTTGAAGTGGCACTCTGATTTCCAGGGCAATTGGGCTTCCTTGGACAGAAACCCAGCATTTCTGGATAGCTAGAATGAAGCCATTTTTTCATTTCCTGAGATTTTCTCCATGAAGCTCAGCGGAGGCATTTTGTGGAGGTCTCTGATGGCGCAAGCCAAGAACATTTCCTCTTAAAACTTATCTTCCCCATCATCCCTTTAGTCTAGTGTGAACTTCCTTTCAGTTCTTACAAAGGACCTGAGGGCACAAACATGCCAAGTGTGGAGAATATGGATATTGGGAATGAAAAATGACAAATATTCCCTCTGTGAGCTTTTCCCTCTTCTGGATTAGTGATGCCTGAATTCTCCTGACATTGAGCGCATCCTGGAAAATGGGACTGGACAGGATTTGCCTTCTAAGCCTCTTATTACAACTGGCAGGTAAAGCCCTTTCTTATTTATTTCAGTTACTTGTATTTCCTTTATATGTTTAACTACCTATGGCTGAAGCTCAGTTATCAGTTCCAAAAATAAGGCCACATCTACACTGACCATTTAATGCAGTTCAGAGCTAGTTTCAAACTGCAGTGGTTAGCCAACAAATGCTCTTGATAGTGCATGAAAGAAAGCCCTTAATGCGCATCAGTGCTCTGTGGTTTGTATAATCCCCATTTGAACCTCAAACTGGTTCCGGGATTTTGTATGTATTCATCTGCCCAGCAAAACCCCTTTCTTCAGTACCAGTTTGAAAATTACTTTAAGTAGTCAGTACAGAAATGCCTAAGGTTTAGACCATGAAAGTTGTAACTATAAGACGTAATCTCTAATGCATAAAACAAACTTAAATCAGCCATAGACTAAAGCCAAGGGTAGAAGCAATAGTTGAGGACAGCAGCTGTGTATCGATTAGCAAGAACCTTTTAAACCTAAAAGAATTAAAATCTGGAGGAAAGAAAAAGGTCTTTGTACTGGCTGAACAAAGACTATCACAGTGGCTAAGATACTGACTATCCTATTCATAGTCTATTTACTTCCTTTCCTCACACACTGTCATACATCTAATGATTTGTTGTCAGACTTCAGACGTAATAGATAATGCCAGATTTGTACAAAAAAAGAAAAGAAAAAAGAAAGGTGGGATAAGGGTCTTCAAAAGGTTTAGTGGTCACATACATATGCTCTACTTTCTCCCACCCTGGGAAATGTTCTAGTGCCAAAGAAAATGGAGCCTCATAGAATCATAGAGTTAAAGAGACCTCATGGCATGGCCATCCAGTCCAACCCTCTGCCAAGAAGCAAGAAATTTGCATTTAAAGCACCCCCGACAGATGGCCATCCAGCCTCTGCTTAAAAGCATCCAAAGAAGGAGCCTCCACTACCTCAATGGGCCCTTGGAAGAGGTAGTCACTAGAAATCTGTCGCAAGATCAAACCTGCCTTTAGCAAAATCTGAGAGATCTGAGATTTTAGGTGGCTGGACAGGATGGTGCTCTCCAGCAACCCCTAATTAAAACAATCTAAAGGTGCATTGTCTAACTGCTCAGTGCTACCCTAAAAACTGCATACTTCCAACTGTCCAAATTTGACAGGAATGGTCCTAAAAAATCCTAATAAAGTGCCTTGCTTTTCCAGCTGCTTTCAAAATCTCAATTTCTTACTCATTCTCTCACTTTCCTCCTTTGTCTTCAGCTAACCAGCTGGATCTACACTGCCATATAATTCAGTTTCTGAATCCAGATTATCTGCTTTGAACTGGATTATATGAGTCTACACTGCCATATAATCCAGTTAAAAGCAAATAATCTGGATTCCAAAACCAAATTATATGGCCTGATGGGGCCTGAATTCAAAGAAAAAAGCACCCAGGAAGCAGCAGAAGAGGATAATGGCCTTCCCTTCCCAGTAGGCTCAGGCAAAACCAAACTGCTGCAGTCTCTCTTAGCCTCTCTGTTCCTCCTCATTAATAATGTTTGCCAGCTTGACCATACACTGATATTGCTTGGACACACATGTCCTGGTTTTCATCCGTTAAATATTGGATAATTTTGGAAAGAGCTATAATATTGGAGAGGGCTATAACATATAGCTTAATGTGCTGCGCCTCTCCCAACATAATACTGAACCCATGCAAAGCGGTAATAATGGATGTAAGTATGATTTTCCTTTCAATCAGTCTCATATCTGTTTTCTCATGAATGCATTTTATCTGTTTTCCATATTAACTTGAACTTCACAGAAATATTTGTTTAAATATGTATTCCTACCTATAACTTGAACCACGTTATTGAGGCAGTGACTTCACTGAGACATTGGGGAATTACAAAAATTGATAGTTCTGATCTCTTCTTTAGTCCAGATGATACAGATTGGTTTGATTCATAGTGGGATTGACGAAGATTGAATCATGGCATCCAGATATGAGTATGATGAATGCAGACTGGAAATAAGACAGTCTCCCTGATGCTAGTCAGCTCAGTGGTATTTCCTGCGCAATGGACATTCTGAGATAATTCCTGCTGCCATTTGTGATGCAAATCAAGCACATATTTAAGTGAAAGGAAAAGCTGCCATGTTGGTATCAGTTTTTAAGAGAGATCAAAAAGGGAAGGTAGAGACATTGTAGCCCCTGATGTACTTCATGTTTGTACATGTGTTTCTTTTATTTATGGTCAGTAGAGTTTTGCGGGGTTTTACCACTGTATAGTTCCTGGCACGTCCCTTTTTCTAATGGAAATAATGTAATAAAGTGTCTTCCCCATCCATCCTGGCTGCCTCACCAGTGCAGCCTTCATTGCAAAAGAGTTCTGGTACCTTGCTAAACTACAAATTCCATGGTCCCATAGCATTGATTCAATGAGTTTCAAACTGCATTAATTTTATAGTGCAGGTTCACCCGCAGAAGGAGAATCTAATTGTATTACAGCACAAGGCACCATTCTAGATAGTGCATTGTACAGTTAGATACGCGACTTAAGGTAAAATTACAAGTCCAACTTCTGAATAATTTATCAACTTTCAAGCAGGAAATAGTGCAGAATTGACACGTAGACAATTGTGAAATGGGAAGTAATTACATATGCAAATTTTGATCAGAGATGGGAGATTACTCTTTTATCGTGCCTGATAGGAAATTCTAGGATTCTTAGTCTAAAATAATAGAATTTACTAACTGCGTAAGTGCTCAAATGACATGGTTAGCATGAAGGAATGTTACAATACCTACAATACAATACCATGGTTACCATGAAGGAATGTTACAAAAGGCTGTTTCTGAATAGTCTGGTTATTCAAACTATCTCCAATTGCCATTCCAGATTCAGTCAAATACAAGGATAAATATTTTAGCTAGTAGTTTAGTTATTTGTTTTCCAAACTATGCTGAATGGGTAGACAAAAGAATAATATTGTTTTTATGTAAGAGATAAGGACTTCCTTCTGTGCTAGGGAAAATCAACAAACCAAGCACTAACTGGCACATATTTTTGTGCTAAGAATGTTTTCCAAAATTCTTTTTTATTAATACAACTATACAACAATACAAAATTCAAAATATTTCTCAACACATTACGTAGCTAGATACATACAATCAAAAAGTCTTACCTTCCTAAACAATAAACAAACATTCCATTGTTTAATTAATTCAGACTAGAGAAAGCAAGACATGTGATTAAATATTGCAATAGCATCTACCAATACAAAAGTTGCAAAAATCACCTTTATTGTATAAGGTTATTGTGAACTAAGTTTCCTCCTCATCTTAGGACGTAGAATGCCAGTTTTGGTAATGCTACCATAATATGTATACTATAAAACCAATATATAATAAAATGTCATAGATCTTAGATTGCAATTCCTTAGTGGCAAGGATTTCTCTACCATAGAGTGTCATGCGCATTAGCAACAATAAGAAGTCTGGATTGTTTGTTGTTTAAGAAAATGGGAGATTGATGATGATTGACAAAACAAACCTGTAGATATGATTGGTAATAACTTAAATCCACAAAAGTCAAACGTACAAATGTGGAGGACCAGCTGTAGTAACAATACTTGTAAAATGCAAACGTTTCCCCTTAACATGAAGTCTAGTCGTGTTCAACTCTGTGGAGGTGGTGTTCATCTCCATTTCTAAGCCGAAGAGCTGGCGTTGTCCATAGATGCTTCCTAGATTATATGGCCAGCATGACTGCATGGAGCACTGTTACCTTCCCGACGAAACAGTACCTATTTATCTACTCACACTGGCATGTTTTTGAACTGCGAGGTTGGCAGAAGTTGGGACTAACAACAGGCACTCGCCCCGTCCCACAGATTCGAACCGCTGACCTTCCGATCAGCAAGTGCTGCAGCTTAGCAGTTTAACCGACTGTGCCACTGCAGCTCCTGTCTTTTACTTATACTTTTTACTAATATAATATTGTTTAAGACTTCAAAATACAAAACCCCACATGGCTGAAAATCCTGATAATTTGGGGATGGTTAAGAAAGTTGCTAGATAAATTTTTATTGCTACATCATATTTTATTTTTACTAGCCATCCCCTGCCACACGTTGCTGTGGCCCGGTCTGTGTACGTTTTTTGTGTATGTATATATGCGTGTGTGCATATTTGTGTATATATGTGTGTTTGCGTGTATATATATATATATATATATATATATATATAGTTTTGCGCATGCGTTGTAATGGGTTTTTTTTGCTTTTTAAGTCCCTTTTGCTGTGTTTTTGAGTGATGGTCACTCATTGGCTTGATAGGTGTCTTGTATCCAAATTTGGTGTCAATTCGTCCAGTGGTTTTTGAGTTATGTTAATCCCAGAAACAAACATTGCATTTTTATTTATATAGATTTCCACTGGTTTCAGTCTACTAAACAGAAAAACAAGAAGAATAATTATTACCTGTGTATATGCCTGTATTAGTCAGGATTAAAATGAATTGCATTTCTGATTATTAGTTTTGTTTGGATGATTTTGATGTCATGTGCCTTCAAGCTGAGTCTAATTTATGGCAAACTCGTCATAGGGTTTTCATGGCATCATTAATTAGAGGGGATGACCAACAGTGACTCGCCCAAGGTCACCCAGTGTATTTCCATAGCTAGGGATTAAAATCTTCTTGTTCTGGAGTTCCCCTCCAACACTCATGGCATACACTACACTGTCTTCAAACTAAGAGTATACTAGAGCCACATCTGCACTGACTACATTTTGTGAAGGACACCCAGATCAGCTCCATGGCAGTCAAAAGTTATGGGATACTCTGAATTCCTGCCCTGATTTTGGAGCAACCCTCAACTTCGTGCCATATAAACAGTTGGGATGGCTCCAAAACAGAATTGGCTACAGTTGTTTATAGTGCCATACAATGTATGTGACTTTGGGGCACAAGATGGCACTCAGAATCTGCTCTATTTCTCCATGTTGTAGAGCTATTTGGAAATGACATAGGTACTGCCAGAAAATTATCACTTGCAGTGATGTCAGCCAGGATGATGGGGAGAGGAGTGGGTGATTCTTCCTCTCCCTCCTGCCTTATCACCCTGTTGCCCAGGCTGGCATCAGTACAGGCAACTGCTGACTGGCAGGACCCATGACATGTCGAACAACCACCATGACATGGAGAACAGGAAGGAGTGATAAGGATGGCTGTCTGGTGGTTCCAAATCAGGTTTGGCACCGCTGGGTGGTTGGGACTCCCTCCTGCATCCACAGGAGTAGTAGCTGTGAACACCATACCGGATTGATCTGGCATACACTACGCCGGATCAGTCATGGGGTCAGTATTGATTGGCCCTAGAGTTTGGAACAGATTAAGATTACTTGAAGGCCTTGCATCTCTCTCTTTCTCTCTCACACACACATATACACATAGAGAATAATTGTTTAATTAATAGTTTTTAGAAGACCTTGGGTAGTTTTCAAAATACACCTTATGGTATTCAGCACATTCATTTCTATAACAACCTTGCAAGGGAGGAGACAGACCCAACAGCAAGATGCACATAGGGTCATAAAATTATTTATTTATTTACAATATTTATATTCCGCCCTTCTTACCCCGCAGGGGACTCAGGGCTGATTACAATGCACATATACATGGCAAACATTCAATGCCATTTAGACATACAACATATATAGACAGACAAAGAGGCAATTTAACATTCCAGCTTTCCGGCTTCATGAGAGTATGCTCAGTTCTGATCACAGGGGGAGCTGCCACTTCACCGTCCACTTGTGACACCGAGTCCTTGATGGAGTACTTCCTCATTCTTATGCACGCTGCTGGAAGGTTTTATGTTGTCGTAAATTAGTTAAATTAGCCTCCCTGCATAAAGCGGTACCTAAATTTCCTACTTGATAGATGCAGTCTTTCAGACTGCATAGGTCAACAACAAGCTAGACTATTAATGGTTGGGAGCTCACTCCAACCTGAGTTGGTTTCGAACTCATGACCTCTTGGTCAGTAGTGATTTAATGCAGCTGGCCACAGCCCGGACCTAAAATTGTCATAAATTGTCATGGAGACACAAACTGATAATTTTATTTTCTTGTTGAAAACTCAGAAATCCATTTATATTCATTGATCATTCATGTATAATTTGAACTGGTGATACATTCTGTACTAACCTCAGTAACAATTTCAGTGATTGTATGTAAAATTATTTGGTGCTATTTGTATTTTTTATCTTGAATTTTTTGTATACCGTTAGTTTTTCACATTGTTATAAGTTTCTGAGAAGTATCAAATGTTGAATATAAGGCTTACAACAGCCTAAAATTCCTCTCCTAAAGGGGTAGCTGTTGTGTTAGCCTACTACAGAAAAAAAACCTAATAACAAAGTAAAATGGCCCCTTCAATTCATGATATCCTGTGGTGCCTTAAAGATCAGCATATGGCATGATCTTCCATGGACTCTATTCCCCATATATGTGAACCACTAAATCCTATCACTGCGTGTGATATTGTTTATAGTACATAATAAAATGCTGTTGAGCTCACGGTGGTCTTTCATTGTGATACCATGTAGCACTGTGTTGCATGATTTATATTATATACCATCTCATGTTGGCTAGAGTAATTTTAAATGCCTTCTTTTGGTTTTATGCACCGCATGTGAGTAATCAAATCAGCAGAGAGTCTCCATGCCATTCATGTGCCCTGAAAACTCATGTGAGAGGTCATTAACTCTATAAGAGGATTGATTGGCTTGACATTTTAGACGAAGTTATAATAAGGTACTATTTGAAAACAGACAATGTTTTTATGACCAACATAAAATGGAAAACATTGTCTACTATGTGCTAACCATTCCCATGTGCAGATTTCTGAAACGTTTGTCAATAAATGAAATTGGGAACTCTTTTGCAGAATTCATTTACTTTCTTTTGAATTGTATCAATGGTTGTGTAATATATGGTGGCCATTTTTGGTTTGGCTACATAAAAGATAAGAAAGAGATAAAATTGCCACAAATTTTCATGGAGATTCCAAGTATTAATTTGTTTTTCTTGTTGGCAACTTAGCAATTTGAACTGTTTATGCATTCTGTACTAACCTTGAAACAACTTCAGTTGTTGCATGTAAAATTATTGGGTGCTATTTTTATTTTTTACTAGCTTGGGGACCTAGCAGTGCCCAGGTTATTTAAGAAAGGCATTGTTTGTCTGTGCTCCAAATTTAGTTTAGATCCAATGTCAGCTGGGTTCAGTGGGTGCGTGTGAACTACAACTCCCATGTGCAAGTCCCATCATCCATGGTCCATCTTCCTCCAAACTACACCACGATGTAGAGTGGGTAAAGTTTGGTCTTGATCAGTCATTGGTGAGGGTCGCAGTGGCCTCAGGATGTGATTGAAGGTACTACAAGTCCCATCATCCATGGTCCATACTCCTTCAGAGTGCGCCAGAATGTAGAGTGGGTCATGGGTGTTCCGTGTGCCAAGTTTGGTCTTGATCAGTCATTGGTGAGGGTTGCAGTGGTCTCAGGAAGTGATTGAAGGTGCTATACGTCCCATTATTCAGGGTTCATACTCCTTCAAAGTGCATCAGGATGTAGAGTGGGTCATGGGGGCTCTGTGTGCCAAGTTTGGTCTTGATCAGTCATTGGTGAGAGTCACAACGGTCTCAGGAAGTGATTGAAGGTACTACAAGTCTAATCATCCATGGTCCTTACTCCTCCAAAGTGCACCAGGATGCAGAGTGGGTCATGGGGACTCTACGTGCCCATATTTGAAGTTTGGTCCTGAGCTGTCATTGTTGAGGGTCACAGTGGTCTCAGGAAATGAGTAAAGGTACTGCATCTCCCATCATTCATTGTCCATCCTCCCCCAAGCTATATCAGGACGTGAAGTGTGTGCCAAGTTTGGTCCAGATCTGTGACTTGTGGTTGCCGCAGTGTTCTGTGGGAAGTGAATTGGCCCCGTTTTGGTATGATAGTCATCTTGAAATATTGAAGGGATGTCATGTAAAATGTAGAACAATCTTGTTTTCTGCTGCTTCAGAAACTAGGATATGAACCAGGAGAATTAAAACAAGAAAAAAAAACCCAGATTCAATCTAAACATTAGGAAGAACATCCTGATAGTAGGAGCTGTTCAAAAGTGGAATAGATGGTTGTGAATTCTTCTTCTTTAGAGTTCTTTGAACAGTCATCAGATGCCCATCTCTCTATAGTGCTTTTGTTGTACATTCCTCAACAACAGAGGGTTGGACTAAATGTCCTTTATAGTCCTTTCTGATGCTAAGATTCCATGACTTTTTGGTTCTTTTGATGCAGGAGCAATTCTGGACATCACTCTAATGGCTAATGTTCTGAGTCCATCGTACACTAGCTTCTATCTCTCATGTGTGACGAGTGAACGGAATGCCAGCCTACAGATTGTCAGAGACAATAGAATTATCATGACACATCCCAAATCCAAGCTCCAGACGTACAAGAACAACAGCAATGAAGTGCAGATGCGAGGATTCTCCCGGGCAGACCTGGTGGGCATCATCTATTGCTTGGGGAAAACTCAGTCAGAAGAAACCAGAGTGGTCTATGTACACAACAACATGAATGGTAAGCCATTATTTTTAAAAAAGATGAATGTTACCCATCAAAAGGGTGCACAGATATGAGTTATCTGGACCCAAACACCTCTGATTTATAAGTGGCAGGGTATTGATATTATGAAGTTAATATGTCTCAGTACTTCATCCCTATCTCGCTGTTATAAGACTAAGACTCAGTCAAAGGGAGTTATCTTTCTATTTCTACAGAAACCCAATATCTTATTTACATACCAGAACAAAGAAGGAGAAATAACACCAGTTAGTCTTTAATCAAGGTATGATTCACATCTAAATACCCTAAATGCACCAGATCCCAGGTGATCTTGGAAGATAAGCAGGTTCAGACCTGTTTAGTGTTTGGATGGGGGACCATTGATGACTGCTGAGTATGCCATGTCTCAGAAGGAGGAACTGGCAAAGGCACCTCTGAGTATGTTTTGCCTAAGAAATTCATGGGGACAACCGTAAGTCAACAAGTGATTTGAAGACCTACCAGATATTGATTCCTTTTCATGGCAGACAACAATCTGAAACTGCACCAGGCAGACATGTAGCCAGGGATGGGGGGGGGGGGGCTTGGGGGGCTTCAGCCCCCCCCCCCCGAAATTCTCATGATGGTCCGCGAGAAGGCCTTACTGGTGCATTATTTAAACTGTTATGTTTATTCATATCATGATCTGATCACTCATACTCAATATATCCCATATGCATGGGGGTATTGGGGTAACGATACAAAAGGTTTGCTAGGGTAGACCCTCTTTCACTCAGACTCAGCCCCCCCGAACCAAACTCAGCCCCCCCCCCCCAAAACAAAATCCTGGCTACGGGCCTGGCACCAGGCAAATAAATTTTGGAGGATCCTCAGATAGGATGCTGTCTATATTCCCATGTGCTCTACTCACTACTTTTGCTGCTACCCATTCATTTACTTTTTCCTCCATCCTAAATTGTAGCTGTTCTTATAGGCAGGGGAAGGGTATGGAGAGGTTACTGCTGTAGTTGAACTGCTTCTTCCATTGGCCCTACCCTGCATAACCAAGAATGAGGGATTAAAGGTGGGGCACAGCTGCTAATCCCTCCTCTATATATCATATCCATTTGTTAGGTATATGGTGAATTTCCTTATCATCATAATCATCTTGATTTGTATATATGCTCCACTTTATACCTTTTCCCCAAAGCCAGAACTTGGAGTGGTTTGAGCAATTAAAATGCAATACAATTGAAATATACAAGAGATCAACATTAAAATGGAATTAAATTATTGGCAAAACTAAAGACAAATGAAAATGATAAAATGCCCTTGCAGGAGCCTTATTAGATCAGTTACCTGCATAACTTTACATATGCCAAACTATGTAACAGAGGCGATAGGAAACCCCTTTATTCAATTGCAGAGATGAATCACAGGACACCAGCAGAGGGTACAATCTGCATCAAGATGGAAGCACACCTCTTCTGTTGTGCATCAATCCCATTACAAGTGGACACTGCCAACTCTGCTATATTATGTCGTAACACCAAACCTCTACTGGATATAGACATTATGCACTTGGGCAATTCTAATTCCCACATAAGTAAATCCATTTGCAAGGATGCAAGTCTCTTACAGGATTTAGGCCCCTTACTTTAAAACCCTTTCAGTTGTCTAATGTCCATTCGGATAGAGCAGTGAGTCAGGTAATTTGATCAAAGAACTCAGGAAAAACAACCAAAAAGAAACTTTATATCTCAGGAGGCCTGTAAAGTACAGAAGATATTGATTTGGGTGTAGAAGAACAAAGACTATTGGAAATTAAGCCTGGAAATTAAAGGGAGCGAAATTTGCCTTGTGTAACCGCTGTAACCCTGTCAATACCCTTTCTAGGAAGAGATGCCTGAAAATGTCCTATATTTTTAGGGGTTTGGTGCAATCAGCTGGTTAAAGCAATTTTTATCTCCACATAATTTGTTTAAGTCTTTTGAAAAGAAAGAAACCACCAATGATTGGAAGGTCATTGGTGGTTTCTTCATGAGCAAGGATGAAAGAAATTGCGGTCTTGTGATCTAATAAATCCCCAATTTATCTTTGAATCTACAGCCAACCTAATTCCAGAAAAGGTGACACAAACAGTCAGCCTCCACCAGACAGCTGTGCTTGTTGCCAAGATAAAGTACGGGAAGAACGCAGACATCTTGTGGAAAAGGAATGGCAAGTGATCCACTTCCCCAGCTTCATGGCTCTGGTGAGATCTACCCTTGCTCCAGAAGCCTCCTCTATCCTTGAACAGGGAACAGTTAGCTTTTTGGACAGCAAATCCTAGAAAGCCAGGGATATCCTGGGATTTGAAGTCCAAAGAAGTCCTTCCATCTCCTGACACTTCCAATAATGGAATTGCAACTCTCCTGCAATCTTCTGTAGGACTTTGTGTTCCATCAACAGAGATGAAGCATGCCGATCAATCAACACAAACCTCTGCTTGGAAAGGTTATTTTTGACAAAAGCTCCACTGGTTGGCTGAGAATTCTGAGAATTTCAATCAAAACGTACATTTTCAGCACTTGAGGAAAGGGAATGCTTTAGGCTTCCTTGATTCCTCTCTGTTCTAGCTACTCTTCCATTGGCTAGTTTTAGCCAGCAAACATCAATCCCCTGTACTTGGTAGTTCCATACTTAGGCTGAAATGAGTTGGTTCACTATCTTAAGGGGCTTTTATAAGTTTGGTTTTTAGCTCTAATACCTTGCTTTTCTTTCTCTTTTTCTATCTCTTTCTGCAGGGACCTACCATGATATCATGGACCAGGGTGAGGTGAAGGAGGGTCAGTCCACACTGACTTTGCCAACCGTTAGCAGAGGTGACAGTGGGATTTATAGTGCTGCATTCCTAGGAGACAGCCCTTTGTCAAATGCCTTCTTCAGGCTGATTGTGCGAGGTGAGAAGGTTCAGAAGAGCAACTGCTTCATCCCTCTGACATGGTTAAACTGTGTACCCCAAACAACTTGCCTTCAGAGATGGCTGGTGAATTTGTATTTCTGAGGTGGCCAATCCACTCTAGATTTTACTCTGAACTTTAAGGAGTTGTCAACAGTGCTATCTCAATTTTGGTTTCAACAGCATCTTTGAAGTTCAGAACCACATCTAGACTAGCCCACTGGCATAAAGTCACCATCCACATCTGCTCTTCATAGAAAATAGGCCGGCAAGTGATATTTTCTCTGCATTGCCATCTGGTCTGGCCAAAATAGACAATGGTAAGGTGGCCCACAAATCTTTGGAAGACCACAGTTGCAGTCCAAACAAGCTGAGGTACCTGGATCCCAAAGTCAGGCAAACTACCGTATATACTCTAGTATAAGCCTGCCCAAATATAAGTCAAGGCACCTAATTTTACCACAAAACACTGGGGAAATGTATTGACTTGAGTATAAGCCAAGGGTGGGAAATGCAGCAGCTACTGGTAAATTTCAAAATAAAAATGGATATCAATACAGTTACATTAATTGAGGCATCAATAGGTTTAATGTTTTTGAATATTTACATAAAAACTGTAATTTAAGATAAAACTGTCCAACTCTGATTAAATTATTATTCTAACCTTCTTCAATGTAAATGTGCTTAAATTTCCTTCCAATAATAATAAAGAGAGTAAAATAATAAATTTAATAAAATAATAATAGAGGAAAATAATGGAAATGTAATAATAACAGTAATAATAGAGTAAAATAATTAATGTAATAACAACAATAATAATAAAGTAAAAAATAAATTCAATAATAATAATAAATATAATAAAATAATACATGTAATAACAATAGAGTAAAATGATAAATGTAATAATAACAATAATAAATAAATAAAAATAATAAATGTAATACTAATAATACATAGAGAAAAATAACAAATGTACTACTAATAATAAATAGAGAAAATGATGATGATGATGATGATGATGATGATGATGATGATGATAGAGTAAAATAATAAATAACTTTAACTTGAATATAAGCTGGGGGGGGGGGTGCTTTTCCAGTCTAGAAAAGGGCTGAAAATTTGGCTTACTCTCAAGTATATATGGTCCTCATAGTTTGGGTACTTGATTACAAATTCCTCAACTACATTTCATGATTAATAGTAGTAAAAAAACTCAAATAATTAAGTAACTAGCTATCTGTATCTTTTTTTCATGTCACCCCAAATATACTGCTTGAGGCAGCTGCCTCATCACCTGCCTAACAGCCCTATGGTGCCTGTTCAATATATGCAAATTTTCCTTACACACATACACACTCAGCACATCTGATAACCCATGATGCACACCATGCGTGAGCCTGTCTTGGGTGTAATGATTCCTGGAAACTGTCTGTGACTCACTTGGTCATAGTACTATACTGCTACATGGGTAGCTCTAGATTCCCCCTGGTCAAGCAAATCTATTGGGAGGTTGCAGCATTTCTTGATCTAGTACTTGGTGGGTTTTTTTCCTTTAAAGATACCCTAGTGACATATTTGTTATTCTGGACTATATTCTGGCAATTCCTAATACCAACTGCAACATTTTTATTCCCACCCACAAGTGCATTTCTTTTAATTCTGTAATGTATAAGAATAATATGACTGCTTCCTTCTATATCCCCCCACCCCACCCCAAAGTAGAATTATAGTGCTTTTAGTGCATCAGCAAAATTAAATTTTATAAAGGAGGACATTTCCTGTTCAAACTATAAGACAACCTCAGAAAATCATAGCCCTGTAGAACTCTAATGGTGGGCCAAAAATCGCTACAAACATCTTCCAAAAGAATGGAATAAGGGGGCATGGAGGTGACATCCATCAAAACTCAAGAAGCTATATTGTGAGAATTCATGTTTCTTCAGAGTAACCTGAGAGAGCTCTCTCCATCATTCTCTGTATCTGACCTTCTTCTCCAGGCTGTGTAGCCAACAAATGGGGATCTTCTTGTGACAAAGACTGTCCTGACTGCCGAAATGGAGGTGTTTGCCACCATATTGTTGGAGAATGCATCTGTCCACCAGGTTTTATGGGTACCCGCTGTGAGAAAGGTTAGAGAAGAACAACGCAGCTGGATTCAGGGTAGCGGGGTGTGTGTGTGTGTGTATGTGCCTCTGCTCTATTGGCTGAGAGCAGCAAGAATGGAAACAATCTCCTGCCTTCAGAGCAACTAGTTGTGCTGGACCGAAGCTCTGGGTTTGTCCATATATTCTCTGAGAAACCCATTATATCCCTTGAAGAATCAATTAGTGTTCTATAAAACATGAATTCACGTTGACATGAGCTTATGGCCAAACGTCACAGATGCAAATGTGGCATCAAAGCAATTTCTTATCCACCTCTCCTCATGGCACAACATAATTAAAACATTTCATCATTAAGACAATATGTCAAATGCATACATTAAAATGTAGCCAACAAGTGGCCCTTTTCACCACCATCCAAGTTTGCCTTGGACCTCTCTCTTCCAGCAACAAGCTTTAATCAAGAATTTTTAAACTCATGTCTTGTATTCAGTATATTTTAATTTTTGTTCTTGTTTTTTAAAGATACCCGTATTGACTCAAGTTTCATGTGTCATCGAATCTAAGGCGTACCTCAATTAAAAAAAACCCCTGAAATCAAATAAAGTATTTGCTGGTGAATGTAATGCACTGCGGCCAAAACTGCCCTCTTTGTAATTTGGCCAAAAAAGGTGCACATTACAGTTCACCTTTTTACCATGCCAATTCTGTGGGATTATGAAGAAGCAATGCATAGTTACTTACTGGCAACTGGATAGCAGAAGTAACAGCAGACCCCTGACTGGGATTTTCTTGCCTTGCAGCTTGTAGGGAAGGCATGTTTGGCCGAAACTGCCAGGAGAAGTGCCGAAGTGATCAGGGCTGCAGGGGTCTGGCCTTATGCTTGCCTGATCCATATGGTTGTTCCTGTGCCCCTGGATGGAGTGGGCTACAATGTGACTCAGGTAGGTCTACCTGTGCTTTCTGTTCTCCAAATCTGCAATGTCTTTGTACACTGAAATAACATGGGAATTGATGTTGAGCCCAATGATTGCTGATCCCTGCTTTGGTACCAGGCCTCCTCCTTTGTAAAATCTAAATGTTATGTTATGCACCCCAATGAGGGTGGAGAAGACTGTTGGAGATTGGGATCAGTTTCCAATATATCCAAACATTTTAATTGCCCCCAAGTGGTCTGGATTTACTTAAAAAGAACAGTATGGAAACTTATTATTTATTTAACCCAAAGTAGACTCTTGCTTCCATTTATTCTCTTCCATGCATCATTCCAGGCCCATTTCCTTCTGAAACTTTTACAATGCATTTTAACCTGCTGCTCCACCAGCAGGTTAAAGGTTGACAGTTCAAATCTGGAGAACGGGGTGAGCTCCTGTGGTTAGGCCCAGCTTTTGCCAGCCTAGTAGTTTGAAAACATGCAAGTGTGAGAAGATTAATAGGTACTGCTTCTGCAGGAAGGTGTTCTATGCAGTCATGCTGGCCACATGATCTTGGAGGCGTCTACAGACAACACCGGCTCTTTGGCTTAGGAAGTGCCCCCCCCCCCCAAGAGTCAGACACAACTAGACTTAATGTCAGGGAAACCTTTACCTTTACTTTACCACATAAAAATGTACCTGTTCCAACTTACAAAGAAATGCAACTTAAGCATTGAGCCCCATTACTGCCTTTGTCGCACAGTCATATAATCCAGTAGGCCTGTTTGATCAAGAAAAAATTTGTTTCTAAAATCGATTTGTAATTGAGGTGTTTTTTTGTTTCGATATTTAAAATAATTACAAAACTTTCCCAAAAAAAGTTTTGTTATTTACGAAATTTCGTAAATATTTACAAAACATTTTGTAAAGATGGCGGACCCCCGCGCATGCGCAAAACCACTTCCGAAGCTTCGTTATTGGCGCGGGGTCGATTCGTTAAGGATATAACGAATCGATTCGTTAAAATGGCGGGGCGCGATCGCGCATGCGCAAAAGCGGCTTCCGAAGCATCGTCATTAAATACGATTCGATTCGATATTGAATAATAACGAATCGATTCGTTAAAGCGAATATTTTGTATTTTTTTAACAATAAAAGGCAGGTATTTTTAGAAAATATTCAAAAATGGAAAATTAACCCAAAACTGGCCCTGATGTGGACCAAACACAGCCACGAGACAGGACAAACGAGAGCACACACCAACAGAAGAGTCTTTTCTTTTTTAGAATATTTCTTGTATTTTTTAAGAATAAAAGGCAGGTATTTTTAGAAAATATTCAAAAATGGAAAATTAACCAAAAACTGGCCCTGATGTAGAGCTAACACAGCCACGAGACAGGGCAGTCGAGAGCAAACACCAACAGAAGAGTCTTTTCTTTTTTTAGAATATTTTTGGTATTTTTTTAAAGAATAAAATGCAGGTATTTTTAGAAAATATTGAAAAATGGAAACTTAACCAAAAATGGCCCTGATGTAGAGCTAACACAGCCACGAGACAGGGCAGTCGAGAGCAAACACCAACAGAAGAGTCTTTTCTTTTTTTAGGTTTTTTTTTGATTTTTTGAAGAATAAAAGAGAAATATTTTTCAGTAATATTTAAAAATGGAAAATTAACAAAAACCTTGCCCTCTTGTGGAGCGAACACAGCCACAGGACAGGGAGAAACGCACACACAGACACACAAGGGTCTTTGCAACTATTCAAATGAACAAATGAAACGAAAGTCGGAGGTTTTTGTTTTTTTGTGGATTTGTTTATTTTTTTGAGGTTATGCATATTTTCATTACTCAAGAACGAAAGTCGGAGATTCTAAGACGATCAGATAAATAATCAATAAAAGAGGGGAAAAACTTCTTTTTCCTTTCATTCTGCCATGAGAGTGAGTCCCTGCAACATGGACTTCATTCTTAAAGGACCCTGTTTTAAGTTACCTCTTGGCACAAATTACTGAGGTTTTTTACAATAATGCTAGATCAGAGACAGATATTTAATGTTTAAAGACATATAGCATTGGGCTAGATAATACATGCTTAGAAAATCTTTAAGAGTAATTCCAAGATCCTGGCAAATAATCAATAAAAAAGTGCCCCTTTACCGGGCAAAGTCAAATTTCCATTTGAGCGGGTGAGGGCACCCCAGAATAATAGCATATGCTTGTCTCAAAGATCAAGTCATGCATGTGACCGTAAATAAACTTGACTAAAAGTCGCCATTAAAATCAATCATTAATCATTAATCAAGAATAAAATAAATATTTAGATAATGATAGCTTGTAGTTTGCTTCCCCTTTGCTTTTCTGAACTTTCCCATTTTGTAGTAATCCCTATTTTTTTTTATAACAAAATAAAGTCGCATTCGTTTTTCCAAAGGCTGCATGACAGGGAGTTGGGGGGGGGGCACAGGAGTGCCAAAGCACTTCGTGTAGGCTTATGGGCTGCACTGGTTGGAAGTTACTACACAAATGACTAAAAGTCGCCTTTAAAATCATCAATAAAAAGAAGTGCTTCCTCCAAAATGTGCTTCCCTCCCGAAGCTGTTGTGATGAGTTGGGGGGGGGAGGGCACAGGAGTGCCAAAGGCTGCATGACAGGGAGTTGGGGGGGGAGGGCACAGGAGTGCCAAAGGCTGTATGACAGGGAGTTGGGGGGGGAGGCGTACACAGAAACTTGCCATAAAGTCGCCATTAAAATCATCAATAAAAAGAAGTGCTTCCTATGAAAATGTAGAGGACCGAAGCGTTTACTTTGAGTTGGGAGGGGGAGAGGCACAGGACGTCTAAGCCACAATGGTGCATGACAGGGATGTCACTGGTTGTTTGTGTAGGGGAGTGAGTTCAGGAGGACAGGCACCAGGAGTAGCCCCAAAAGAGCCTCGCATGACAGGGAAGTTGGCTGGTCCGGCGGAGCGGGCCACAGGAGTGCCAAAGCAGCCTACGTATGATCAGCGAGTGGTGGGGGGAGGATGAGTAGCGTACACTAGCGGACACAGGCAGTTGCGCTCTTTTTCTTAGCATTCTGGCAGAGACACGCGAGGTATGGGAGAGGAGGAAGCTTGCCGGTAGGAATGTAAAGTACAGAAGGGCCGTTACCAGTGAACTATGTATCAATCGAGCTCATTAACAATAATCAAGGCTGGTATGACAGGGAGCTTGTGGGGCGGGAGGAAGGCCCAAGAGAGTGCCCAAAGGTCTGCCTATGTACAGGATGTTGGGACGGGCGGAATGTACACTGGGGCAAAGGCAGTTGGTCTTTTTGCCTGAGAGGGAAGGATGGGAGAGGAAGCTTGGGATGTAAAGTACACAAGGGCGTTACAGTGAAACTGATAATGGCTCATTAAAATAATCAAGGCTGTATGACAGGGAGTTGGGGGGGGAGGCGTACACAGAAACTTGCCATAAAGTTGCCATTAAAATCATCAATAAAAGGAAGTGCTTCCACCAAAATGTAGAGAGGGCGGCACGTAAGGCAACACAAAGCACAAAGCAAAGTAGAACGCATCAGGACAATGTTCCCGCGTTGATCAGGCAGTGGTAATGTAAGGCAACACAAAGCACAAAGCAAAGTAGAACGCATCAGGGCAATGTTCCCGCGTTGAGCAGGCAGTGGTAATGTAAGGCAGCACAAAGCAAAAGCAAAGTAGAACGCATCAGGGCAATGTTCCCGCGTTGAGCAGGCAGTGGTAATGTAAGGCAACACAAAGCAAAGTAGAACGCATCAGGACAATGTTCCCGCGTTGAGCAGGCAGTGGTAATGTAAGGCAACACAAAGCAAAGTAGAACGCATCAGGACAATGTTCCCGCGTTGAGCAGGCAGTGGTAATGTAAGGCAACACAAAGCACAAAGCAAAGTAGAACGCATCAGGGCAATGTTCCCGCGTTGAGCAGGCAGTGGTAATGTAAGGCAACACAAAGCAAAGTAGAACGCATCAGGGCAATGTTCCCGCGTTGAGCAGGCAGTGGTAATGTAAGGCAACACAAAGCAAAGTAGAACGCATCAGCAAAGTACACATCAGGACAATGTTCCCGCATTCAGCAGGCAGTAGTAATTTTAGGCAACACAAAGCAAAGTACACATCACAACAATGTTCCCGCATTCAGCAGGCAGTAGTAATATTAGGCAACACAAAGCAAAGTTCACATGGTGATCAATAAGGGCAATGTTCCCGCATTCAGCAGGCAGTAGTATATTAGGCAACACAAAGCAAAGTACACATGGTGATCAATAAAGGCAATGTTCCCGCATTCAGCAGGCAGTATTAATTTTTAAGGCAACACAAAGCAAAGTACACATGGTGAACAATAAGGGCAATGTTCCCACATTCAGCAGGCAGTAGTAATTTTAGCAAAGTACACATGGTGATCAATAAGGGCAATGTTCCCACATTCAGCAGGCAGTAGTAATTTAAGGCAACACAAAGCAAAGTACACATGGTGATCAATAAGGGCAATGTTCCCTCATTCAGCAGGCAATATACCGATCCAAGGGACAGAGCAAGGGTTAGGGTTAGGGTATTCAAAGTAATTCAATTCGGGTTTTTGAAAACAGGAGGCTACTAAGGTGATCTACGGCACGGAGCAAGGGTTGCTGTTGAAATCAATCTCTGGGTAGCCCAAAACTGGCAAGTTGGCCTTTAAGAAGACCAGCTTTTCCACCGCAAGGGGGTCGAGCGAAGTACGTTGGAGGGTGACGACATCTCCTGCCAGGCTGAAGACCCTCTCACTCTGCACGCTAGTTGGTGGGCAGCTGAGATACTTGCGTGCAACGGTTGAGAGGTCAGGCCATGTATTGCTTCGGGAGGACCAGTACGCCAATGGATCGCTGTCTACAATCTCCTGAGGCTCCTCAAAGTAACGATTGACAGAGAACTCTGCTGAGTCAATCTTTGCCGCCTGGGCCGGCAAAGATGTTTCTTGCCCTGCCATCAAAACGATACTATCGGTTATGAAATGCTCCACGCTTCTCTTTTTCAGCT